CTTATGTTTTAATATTAAAATTAACAAATGTGGACTTGCTTGTCAAGTGAAAATTGTGTAACAGTGATGTTAAAATAATGTGTAAAAGCACTTCCTTAAAAAGAACAGATAAATATAGAGCCCTAACAAGCAGAATTAGACTAGACTGAAAGAACAAGCTGAGATGTGAAAAAAGCAGTTGAAGTGCAGATAAAAACCTTTGTCAGAGACAAGTATGCAGAGTGAATATGTAGATAACTTAAGCAACATCAAAACCACCTTTGCATACTGTCACACTGCTGCTGGCACTCAATATAAGTGCTAATGTCATTCCCCACATATTTCTTTTACAGGTTTGACACCACCATATTGTACTCAACCAGATCCTTGACTCCATTTATAACAGAAACTATAATCATTGAGCAAGCAATGCAATGATCTGCTGGGAAACCTTGGGTCTAGGCATTTATATAGATGTTACTTTGACATACACCACCACCCACCTAAACATTTTTGTAGAACAAAGCCCATGCCACATTGCAAAAAATGCTCAGAAACACGCTCAAAGAACAAGACAGAGAGCCGAAGGTGTTGACTTGGTGTCAAAACTCCACAGATCATAATCTGATCGAGCATCTGCCGGATACTTTGGAACAAGCCCAATTTATTCCACAATGGACAGGACCCAAGAAATCCACTGCCAACATTTAGGCACCAGACACCGAAGGATGGACCCATTAGTCCATGTCTCGATGGTTTGGAGCTGTTGGGGCAGCACAATTACAACCTACACAAAGAGTATGTGAATTTGTGCCAGAGGTATTGTATAGCGTTGTCTCAGCGCCACAAGTCTCCATGAACTGGTCAAAATAAGTAGAGAGAACTTTGCTAAAAAGGAGCTACAGTAAAATTTCAACTGGCATCTCAGAGAGCTCGTCCAACAGCAGAGGAAGATCTCTGAGGTGAGAATTCTGCTAAAGAGGCCTGACAGTGAAATTTTCACTACTCAGAAAAGTGAATCCCCAGAAAAGAAAAAAATAAATCAGAGTCACAGTAGAGAAGAGCTTAGCGGCAACACAGATGACCTTTTCCACATTGATACGGCTCAAACTCTCGAAAATCAAGAAAGTAACTGAGATGCTGATGGAGGTACTGGTCAGAGGAGGAGCCAGCAGCATATTCAGGGAGAACCTTGAACTTGACCCGTTCACAAAGTTGAGTGGCTTGGCCATGGAGGCCATGCCCTGGAGCGACGTCCCTCCTCGTTTGTTGCCCAAACAGTCCCCCTGACATTTTGGTTGTCTACGCTGGAGGCAACGATCTTAGTTGATCAGTTTCTGTTCGACTATCTCTAATTTGCCTCGATATTTAATAGCATAAAATACAGACACTAATCAAATAAAATAAATACATACACACATTTTAACTGACATATTGGATAAACTGACATATGGATATTAATAAAATCCATCCATTTCTATACACTGTTTTATTCTCTGCAGGCTCGTGATGTGGCTGGAACCTGTCTGATTCGTACCCAAGACCATTAAGCTTTGAGGCGACCACTGTGCCACCAATGTACCCCTCTGTTAATTCTTTTTCCCATTTTGCTTTAATGTACCTGGAATTATTACCTTTCTGTTTGTGATGACTGGTATAATTTAGAGACAGTTTTAGTATTCATCTGCTTGTTAGCTTCAATCAGAATATTTACAACTGCGCTGTCCTCTTCAGATATTTCATTTCCTTTTATTTAGTATGCTCTTGAATTCTCTCTTCTCAGATATTGTGTATAGCACTACCATGAAAAGTCCTATCTTTGAGCCCACATTAACATAAGAATTAATAACACAGAAGTCAGCTTTTGATATTTTCTGATCCATTTGTAGCTGCATGTCACAATAATACAAAAGTAATGTATAAAATACTTTTGAGTAAAATACTTGATCACAAAAACAAAATAAAAGTTACTTTCTTTGAATTTTTAAACCATAAAAACACAAATTTTGGTCGGTAGCTTAATCCAACTAGAACAGACTATCTGGAGCCTCTAAATGACTCTAGTTCACATATTTCAGAGTACCTGGTAAGTTTTTTGTAACATTTTAGAACTTTTTTTGACAGTATTGTGCACTTTGGATGTATCCTGTTTTTTCAGCTAACTTGGGGCTTTTACTTTGAAAAGCACAGATATGTGAGTTTACTTTCCTCTTGCTCCTTTTTAAAGAAAAAAGAAAACAACAAAAACATGCTGCTACTACAGGTCCGTAAATATTGTGGCAGATTAGTGCCTGGAGACTGTGAAATTTTTTCCTTTATTTATTTATTTTTTTACATTCCTGCAACCCTAAAACAAAAGTTATTTTAAGACACTGAAATCACAATATCCATACAGGTAGTTAATAGGTTTCTTTCAGTGCAGACACCCTGAAGCTCACTGTTACAGAAGACCATCTCTTGTTTTCTCTCAGCCCCGAGCCGACGCATGTGACAGCAGCATTACTCAATTCTAACAAAACAGGATTATATTAAAATTCCCCACTGTGTGGCCACTTAATTAGGCTTTCTCCCTGTCTGGGCTGAGTTACAACCCTGTAGTCTGCCCACCTGCTCCCACCTAAAGTATGGCACAGATTGACTTGCGCCACTAACTTTTTGGCAAAGACGTACCTGCAGGAGTCATGCCGTTGTCAAGCTGCAGCCCCCGAACACAAACTTACATTTATGGAGAACATATTTGGTTATTAGAGCAGAGCCCTGTGAGCATGTCACTTGTTCCTGCTTCAGAGACATGACCTTAGCAGCTACAGGCCCATCATTAAGTAGTTTAAGTACACAAGTATTTTGTCATTACTCACTCAGGTAAGAGTTAGATTTCATGTATTAGTGAAGTAAAAACAACAAAACTGATCATTCAGACAGATTTTTCATTTTGGTTGACTTTGTGTCTCATTCACATTGTCTTTATTGTTATTATTATTTACCTTTATTTAACCAGGAAGTCCCATTGAGATTAGAAATCTCTTACTGTAGCTGAGCTGAAACATTAAAAGAGACACTGTGTAAGACTTGTATTAATTTGGAAAGGGAAACAATATGGGACCTTTAAATTAAAAGTCACCATCTAGAGTGTATCTGGCCCTAATAAAGCTGTATTGCTTTCACTTTGAAAGAAACTGTAAAGTTTTATCCTTGGGGGCTGAGCAAACTATTTATAGGGAAGTTTAAAGATGCACAAAGACGAGATGAGCAAAAACTCCCCTGACAGGCGATTGTAAACAAAAGTAGCCTCCCATCGCTGGGATGATTCAACATCAAACATGAAAAGAGTGAGATTTCTCAAGTGGCAGATGGTAAGTCTCCTTTCGCTAATCATAATTTTAGATAAAAAGGTTTATCTAAAAATAATTTGCCAACTTGCTTTTTTTTTTTTTTTTGCACGTCCATATTTGTCGAGGCCCCTTCATCATCTGTTACTGTTTGTAAATGATCAGTAATTAATAGGCGAGGTCGACACACAGTCTTTTGTGTGAGATGAACACTAAAATAAAATGCTTTGCATATGATTAGAGCACACATAGAAGATAGCTGATAGCTTTATCAAACCATAATTCAGATCACAATGTTTACATCTGAATGATACTTATGCAGTGGTGAATTATCATACACAGTTTTGGCACAGGAATAATACATAACGCTGTATTGTGTGATTAGATTCTGGATATTTGATTTAACCCACTGAAGATGTATTCTCTGCAGAACTAGGTTCTTAAATGAGATAAACTGATAGTTTGTATGGATATCACTTTAGTGTGGGAGAAGCGCAAATAACAGAGGCCATGAAGGTTACAGCTCTAATTAAAACTGCTAAAACAAAAAATATTCTCACTGGATGGATTTCTAGTTAATGAAAACCTTTGAGGTGTATTTGCTCCTGATTTTGCTGGACACAGAATTAGTTAAATCACAGTCTTTCCTAATTTCTGATACATCCAATGCTTTTGATCAAATAAGCTTTTTATTGACGATGGAGCAAGAAAGGAGAAAAGACGGTCGTGATCTTTTGGGATATTTCTCGATTTATGAAAGACAGACGTTCAGATGGACAAGTGTCAAACCCAAACAATTCGAAAAGCATAAACATATGCATTTGTGCACAAAGTGATGGCCAAATAAAATCAGCATTTCATCATACAAGATACAATGCTATTCCTCCTGGAATTTTGTATGTCTTCATTCAGAATGAGAAAATGCAGAACTCATATAAACAACTTATTGTTCACATGAGTACAACTTGACATCATGCATTTTTTTAATGTTATTTTGTATGTTGTCTTAACTAAAGATGAGACAATACATAATGTACTCATATGAAGAAGAAAATGGTTGAAAAGATTTATTAATTACTTGAGTTCAGTTGTTTTTCTTGGATGCTCGTCCTGTCAGCCAATATGGGAATAACTGTAGGGTTCAAGCTTGGGTTTTAAATGTTCTTGTTGGGTTGGTTTACAGAGGACTTTGCGACACAACACAATAATAAAGGGCTGGAAGTGGTTGTATTTAGAACCACTGCACACAGCCTCCTCTCTCTCTCTCTCTCTCTCTCTCTCTCTCTCTCTCCCTCTCCCATTGGCTGTCTCCCTCTCTCCCCCGATTAACTCACTCTTTGTGTTGTCTTTCTTCCACTCTGTGTGTCTCTGTGACGGGCTGTGAGTGGAGCAGCCTCAGAGGTGTGTGACTCCCTCCAGCGTAGCCAGAGGCTGCACTGATGCTCTCCAACTATCTACTACACTAGTCTGCCCTTTGGCTGTCTGAACTGCCTCTCCAACAGGCGAACAGATATTTATTCCTCTGTGCAAAGGAAAGAAAAGTACAGGGTGGCACCGTGCTTTTACGCATGGAGGTTGGAATCAGCCTATTGCCTTTTACGCATGGCTGCTGTGTGTCACCTCTTCGGAAGATGCTGCCGGGCTTATGAGAGCTTGTCAGGGCGTCAAGAAGGGCGTGAAAAGTGAGCAACGATGCGGGGCACTGAGCTCCTGCTCGGTTACTTTCTAGTGAAAGTTATGGTGTGCGACGCAGAGGGCGAGCCGGGTCAAACCGTCGACGACTTCATCGTAGTCACCGGGTTTAACGACTCCAAGGAAGGGGAGAGCGAAGTCACGGAGAGCCCGCACACGGAGGACAAGTGCCGGGGCTACTACGACGTGATGGGCCAGTGGGACCCGCCGTTCGTGTGCAGGACGGGCAGCTACCTGTACTGCTGCGGCACCTGTGGCTTCAGGTTCTGCTGCGCGTTCAAAAGCTCCCGGCTGGACCAGACCACCTGTAAGAACTACGACACCCCGCCGTGGATGATGACGGGCAGACCCCCGCAGAAGGTGGACGTGGCGCTGGACTCCGCGAAGGATAAAACCAACCTCATTGTGTATGTCATATGCGGGGTCGTGGCCATAATGGCACTGATAGGAATTTTCACCAAGCTCGGTTTGGAAAAGACGCACCGACCACACAGAGAAAATATGTCGAGGTAAGAAGTCATGTCCTATTTTATTTACTGTCATTTTAGAGTTGTTCTGTCATTTAAATTTCCAACATGTAAAAACTGATCATTTATGTGTGTGGAACAAAGCAAAGCAACAAGTTGATTATGTTGCCTAAAACCTGGAACCGAGCAAACAGATGGAGTTCAGCTGCACACTAACAGAGTGACCAGCCTGAGTTCAAACAGGCTGCACCACAGTTCACGCTTAATCTCAGTGTTCAGATGACAACAGGATGCTCATTCTCAGTTGCAAACCCTGTCCACCACATGTTACTCCTTTGATAGAAGTGTGTTTTTGATGCTGAGTACAGTGCTCAGTTGAACAGTTATCAATTGTCTTGAAAAAAAAGCTTTTTTAATCAAGACAGAAAAGATTGTAAATGCAAAAAATAATTCTCAACTGAGCCTGACACTTAAAAAAAAACAAAAACAGATCAAATTGTGGAAATGCAACTATCTGCAAAAATGTTCACCGAGAATTTGTTTTTAAAAAAAGCAATTTCTGTCTGTGTTCTTTTTTAATATATAAAAAATTAACGCGTATTTAAAATTGTGCCTAAAAAGCCTACAGCAGACAGTTGTAAGTAACACACACACACACACACACTTCCTTTGTGTCACAGTTCACAGATGTGCATACTGAGACTTACTACTCTTTTGAATCTTACGCAGGAGAATGATTTTGCACAGAGCGTTGTTTTCACTGAGGAGACACCATGATGTCATTGTTATTCTGTTAAAACTAAATTACGGCACAGTCTAGAATGGCTTCCAACAAGACAGACAGATTGAAAAAAAATAAAT